GCAGAGATGTATAGCCCCAGCCTCGCTAGGATGCCAAGCGCTTCAGTGTGTGTCATAAAGAGCGAGAGATTGGTATTTTAGCATATCATTAACTAAGCCTTAGTATATTTCAGAAAGGAAACACACGTGTATGTTTAACCATTTATTATAAAAGATTACAATGCATTGTCTTGGCGTTATGCTCTGCTCCTTCAGTGTAGCTCACTGCCAGAGCCAAGCATCATATAAAGATGATACAATAACTACAGGCAGTGAACACCATATGCGATATCAAATCCCCTGAAGGAAGAAACACAGAACCCAGACAGGTGAAGGCTGGGGTGGTGGTGGGATATCAAAAATGGCAAGCATAGCGTGTAACTGCTAGTTACAGCAGCAATGGCAGCAAGAGACACCAGCGTTATGCGTGCGCGTGACATCCGGAATCGAGGAAGCCATGTGCAGAACTGGTCGTCTTAAATAGACTGCATGTAAGCAGAGTGTGAATTTAATTGGTGTAATATCCGCTGATGCGATCAGCAGATGCCACCGCACTCGGGTTTCCCTTCTGAACCGGCTTCGCTTTATATACGTTTTTGTTTGCATGTGTTTGTGTATGTGTGTGTCTCAAGTGAGATGGAAACATGCGGTATAGTATCCTTACAAACGATAACCAAAACCACTGCCATAAGTAAAACAACCACAGAACACTATTCTGCCAACACCTTGACCCTCTTCAGCGAGAGATACACAGCTTTGATACCATTGAGATAAAAAAAGATTCTGCAGGGTTTTGGAAAGAGCCTGGAGGAGTTTAACCCTGCTGGAACCCCATGAAACACTACTGTCTGCTTCCAAACCCTGAACCAGGGGATAAAGAAAAGACAGAAAGCAACACCAGTGGAAGTACTTTTTTCCACTAGCTCTGTCGAGGCTTTCGATGCGATGATGTGAATGTAATGGGGTCAGAGTTCGCTTCACGTGTTGCCAAGGCATGGTTCGGCTGAGGAAAAGGGGTCAGGGGTAAGGGGACGTGCGTAGATTGCCGTAGCCTCTTGTTCTGTTTCAGCTTGCTTTGGGCTAGATGGTTTGGCTCGGAGAGCCAAAAAACACAGCGGGTGAGAAAGTATCAACCCATGGTTCTTGAGGAATAGGAACATCCAAATGGATGTCCTGCTGGCAGTCAGAAAAGTGTTTTGGAGAAAATGCAAAACATCAGGCCTCCTTTAGTGCCGTGGATTGAAAAACAGACCCACTGCTGTATAGGGATTTCACCCCCAAAACATTTCTTTATGTCTCTCAAACACACATAGACACACATACACACACACACACCCTTTGGGCTTTAGTGTTTCTCCTGAGGCTTGTTATTCCTCTCTGTCCTTGGGATTTGAGACTATCACCAGGCAGCCTGTGCAGAGCTCCTAATAACCATAAGATAGAGTACACTTTTATTCATACAAAACAGAAAGCCCCTACCAAAATAATACAGCACAATCAGGAGATGTTCCCTCTTTACATAACACCATGCAGAGATTCCCAGACAGTAAAAAAACAACTTAATGAATAAATGCAAATAAATGCAAAGAGGAAGGAATATTCCAATTCTAGTTACCCATCTGGGACACAGAGTATACATAACACTTCATTAAAATAAATAATCCCCACTGTCAATTATATAAACACACCATTTTTCAATTGTAATTGCAATTGCAACAAACTAATCACAATGGTTTGTAATATCAGCTGTTTCTCAAAGTATACAGTGTGTCATAATAAAGTGATTTCATTAAGGTCAGATTTTGCCAATGATAATAGCATTTTATCTTAAATATAGATATGCATTTTCAGAGATGCATCTTCCTCCTTCCTAAGAGGGCCTGTGCTGTGTCTCTCTCCCTTGCCATCGGTTCTTATTAGAAGTCACAGCTCCATAATCTGCACTGGAACTGTCCATATATCAATAATGCTTTGATCTATGGATGTTATTATACAGGGCTTAATTTATGGGGAAGTGTGTGAGAGCAGAGGATCTTATGCAAACACGCAGCTAGCATTGGCTCCCATCCATAAGTAACTAAAATAAATCAGCCATCTCTCTCTCTCTCTCTCTCTCTCTCTCTCTCTCTCTCTCTCTCTCTCTCTCTCTGTACCTCTCTCTCACTCTCTGTCCCTCCCTCTTTCTCTCCCTTCTTCTCTTTCCCTCTTCCTCTCTCTCTCTCTTTCTCCTCAAGGCATGACACACTGGCGCGTGTGAACATTCCTTCCAGAAATATCGCCCTTTTCTCCCTCTCTCTCTCTTTCATATGCTCGATCTCTCTTTCTCTCTCTCTCTCTCTCTCTCTCTCTCTCTCTCTCTCTCTCTCTCTCTCTCTCTCTCTCTCTCTCTCTCTCTCTCTCTCTCTCGCTCTCTCTCTGTTTTTCTCTCTCTGTCACAGGCATTCTACAGTATCTCTCTCTCTCTCTGTCCCTCTCTCTCTCTGGCTCAGGGATAGTGTCATCATTGGTTGTCATTCTGAAGTCAGGCAGTCAAGCACGGCAGCCTGAGCGAGTATGATCAGGGGCAAGCAGGGGTTTAATTGTGAACTGTCTGCGATGGAAATTAAATCTCACTTGCGAAATAATGGAAATGGATTAGGCCAGGGCCAAGGGTCAAGAGTGGCTATCCTGGCAGCAATTGACTCCACGCCATGGCACACTGCTGAAGAGTAGACTTAATATGATGCTTGTGTGTGTGTATGTGCACAGTTCAGTGGAGACCATAAAGCCTACATATAAACACGGTTGGTTTTCTATAGCACGTGCATGTCATGCAATGATTGAAAGCCTTATTGCTCACTGATTGAAAATGAAGTTATGGATTTACAGTAAGTGTTCAATGCTATGGAGCTTTATGCCCTGTGTTTAGGAGCAATTGTACTTGGCAGTCAAGGATGGAGTGAGGCATTTTGATTGGCTGTTGATATATACCCGGTAGGCTACTAGTAAATCATGCACATGAATGTTGAACTTCATACCAGACATATTCACATATTTCTCATTCTAGTCTAGACTTCCAACAGAGAAATCACCAGTAGGGAATTGCATGTATAGAACATTCAGTCTAGTAGTCGATGTCTCTGAGGAAATGCATTTCCTCTACAAAGCAGATCGCCAAATGAACTCCATTTACAATATCAATGCTTATTTTTCATAAACTTTTACTACTATACTGAACAAAAATATAAACGCAACATGCAACAATTTCAACGATTTTACTGAGTTACAGTTCATATAAGGAAATCAGTCAATTGAAATAAATTAATTAGGCCCTACTCTATGGATTTCACATGACTGGGCAGGGGCACAGCCATGGATGGGGCTGGGAGGGCATAGGCCCGCCCACTTGGGAGCCAGCTCCACCCACTGAGGAGCCAGGCCCACCCACTGGGGAGCCAGGCCCAGCCAATCAGAATGAGTTTTTCCCCAGAAAAAGGCTTTATTACAGACAGAAATACTCCTCAGCTTCATCAGCTGTCCGGGTGGCTGGTCTCAGATGATCCCGCAGGTGAAGAAGCCGGATGTGGAGATTCTGGGCTGGCGTAGTTTCATGTGGTCTGCAGTTGTGAGGTCGGTTGGACGTACAGCCAAATTCTCTAAAATGACGTTGGAGGTGGCTTATGGTAGAGAAATGAACATTAAATTACCTGGCAACAGCTCTGGTGGACATTCCTGCAGTCAGCATGTCAATTGCACGCTCCCTCAAAACTTGAGACATCTGTGGCATTGTGTTGTGTGACTAACTGCACATTTTAGAGTGGCCTTTTATTGTCCCTAGCACAAGGTGCACCTGTGTAATGATCATGCTGTTTAATCAGCTTCTTGATATTCCAAACATGTCAGGTGGATGGACTATATTGGCAAAGTAGTAATGGTAAAGAACAGGGATGTAAACAAATGTGTGCACAAAATTTGAGAGAAATAAGCTTTTTGTGCATATGGAACATTTCTGGGATCTTTTATTTCAGCTCATGAAACATGGGACCAACACTTTAAATGTTGCAATTATATATTTTGTTCAGTATACATATACTGTTACTACTACTTCTACTACTATAATAAACCCATATGGATGCATGTGTGTCAGACTGTATTGGAACCAGGTTCTCCTGTGTGCCACAAGACTAGGCATTTGCTAATGGAAATCTTCAGGTCTCGTGCAAGGTTACTCATCACGTGAGTGTGGTTCACGAAAGCACCCCTGTTAAACAAAGCACCAGGTTTACATGTGGTCTGATAAGGTTTCTCTGTCTGTTTCTTTCAGATCCCTGAATGTGGGGACAATGAGGGGACCCAGACCAGCCTAAGCTGTGGTGGACCAACTGGAGGCTTCAGGAGAGGAAGGGGTTGATGCAATTGGAGCCATGAACGTACCCTGCTGTCCATGTAACACCAGACAGCTCTGACACACTCCTCCTCAGTGCTCTCTCTTCCTCCCCCTTTTCCCCCTTTCCCGAAAACTACATCTATAAATCTATAAACACGTACAGACAGAGAGTATCTCTTGCCACAAAATTGACTTCGTTTTCCTAAAAAGCTATATCTGGATTCCAAGGACTGGGATTTCTATTTGGAATAAGGAGTTGAGTTGAGGGACGGAACGTTGTGTTAAAATTATCGAAATTCCCCCTGCCAGTCCGTTGTCCTCATTTTTCCCTGTGAGTCCCAGAGGCACCAACCAATGGAGAGACGGAGAAGAGAGTCAGGATAAAACAGCAGAGAAATAGAGCAAATTCAGAGAGAACTACTGAATCGGCAGGATTGGAATCTGGAATTGGGTCCTGTGAGGGTTTTGCTTCTCCCACACTTTCCCCAGCCTAGAGGACTCTCCTTAGCGAGAACCAGACATAACAACCATTGTTTACACTTAACATACAAAAACGACAACGACAGCTGCAACTACGCTAGGCCGAGCTACGTCCCTGTGTGGAGGATTTGAACCAATAGGAAGACGATAAGGATTTAGGATTGAGATCGCAACCATGACGAGGGGGTTGAGGTTTCCCGCTTTGCCCATGTGGCCCCTGGCGTTCCTCAGTCTGCTGGTGACGACCCGGGCGCTGGAGTTCGGCGGGGCCCCCGGCCAGTGGGCCCGCTACGGGCGTTGGGAGGCGGGCTCGGTGGGCGAGCTGAGCTTCAGTCTGAAGACCAATATCAGCAAGGCCCTGGTGCTCTACCTGGACGACGGCGGCAACTGCGACTTCATGGAGCTCCTAATCGCCGGCGGGCGCCTCCAGCTGCGCTTCGCCATCCACTGCGCCGAACCCGCCACCTTACACATGGAAACCCGGGTCAACGACGACCGCTGGCACATGGTGCTCCTCACACGCAACTTCCGCGAGACCCTGCTGATGGTGGATGGCGAGACCAAGGTGGCGGAGGTCAAGTCCAAGCGAAAGGAGATGGCGGTGGTCAGCGACCTGTTCGTGGGCGGCATCCCGCCTGACGTGCGCCTCTCAGCCCTTACGTCCAGCACGGTGAAGTACGAGCCCCCATTCCTGGGCCTGATCTCCAACCTGAAGGTGGGCGAGATGCCCCCTACCCTGCTCAACAGCCAGGGCATCCAGAGTGACCTAGAGTTTCTGTGCACCAAGCAGAACCCCTGCCTCAACGGAGGCTTCTGCTCCATCCAGTATGGCGAGGTGCACTGCGACTGCACACACACCCGCTACAAGGGGAAGTACTGCAAGGAAGGTGAGACCATGACCTGGCTAACTAGCTAATACCCTTTTTTCTAATGCTGCTTTTTAGCATGGTTCCAGCAACTGTGGTGAATGCATAACCAGGACAGCTCAGTCCATGTTGGTTTGGTTTGGTTTGGCTCAGCTTGGCTCAGTAGTAGGAAAAACCCTTAGCATAATATAGGTAAGAGACAAGCTTGCTAACTCACTTCTTCAAAGCAGAGCAAAGCAAGCAAGCCCCCAGTGCTAATGTGTATGTATTATTCTAATGTAATCTTGCCTTTGACCTTTGGAAGGATCCCATACTACACTCTTAGAAAAAGAGCTGGGCTGTCTCCATAGGAGAACCAAGAACCCTTTTGGGTTATGTAGAACCCTCTGTGAAAAGTTTCTGCCTGGAACCAAAAAGGTTCTACCTGGAACCAAAAAGGGTTCTTCAAAGGGTTCTCATGTTACATTTACATTTTAGTCGTTTAGCAGACGCTCTAATACAGCTAGGTGGGACAACCACATATCACAGGCATTTAAAGTACATTTTCCCTCAATGCAAGTGCATTGGTGAGGAGGATTATTTAAGATACTGTTTGAAGAGGTAGGGTTTCAGATGTTTTCGGAAGATGGGCAGGGACTCTGCTGTCCTAGCTTCAGGTGGAAGCAGGTTCCACCATTGGGGTGCCAGGAGAGAGAAAAGCTTGGACTGGGCTGAGCGGGAGCTGCCCTCCCTTAGGGATGGGAAGACCAAGCGCAATGTTCCCTCAACTTTTTTTCATCACTCAGCAAATTTCTGGTCTGCTGAGCACAGATTCTGTGCAACTTCTGATGCGCGTTGACTGTAAACACTGAGGTTGTACCCACTTTAAGTTAGTTTTAGCAGTGGTCAAGTAGGCTACTGTGGCTACTTGATCATAATATAGGCCTACTAGAGTTGCCTACCATCAAAAACAATGGAGAAAATACATCCCATAACATTTTAACATGGAAATAGCTGTTCCATCGTTCAGCCTACAGTAGCAGCCAACGTGTGGTGTTCAATGTAGGCCTACGACTTTTGAAAAAAACATGTAGGGCTTGACATTAACATGTTTATCCACTTGTCCTTCAGACAAGGAGGTGACTGAAAATGTTGTGTTTGATGCAAGGAACCACTTTACAAAATAAAATGAATCATTATTCCCATACCATTATTACAGAGAATCAGACAAATTATGCTACCCTCTGCCTATTGGCTACTTAGGTTATTCAAGCCTGTCTCAAAATACAACACTGCCCATTTAAGACAAAAAAAAGCTCTTTACCTGACTTGCTTTCCAAAGATGTCTAGAAATGCAAACGTATTGTGCTCTTGTAGTAAGCAATCACTCCCCCATTGCTGACTACAAATGATCTACAGTGCATTCGGAAAATATTCAGACCCCTTGACTTTTTCCACAATTGATACAATTGTTTTTTTCCTCCTCAATCTACACACAATACCCTATAATGATACAGCAAAAACATGTTTTTAGAAATTTTAGCAAATGTATTAAAAATAAAAAGACAGAAGCGACTCTTCAGTAAAAGGCACATGGCAGCCCGCTTGGAGTTTGCCAAAAGGCACCTAAAGGACTGTCAGACCATGAGAAACAAGATTCTCTGGTCTGATGAAACAAGTAACTCTTTGGCCTGAATGCCAAGCGTCACGTCTGGAGGAAACCTGGCACCATCCCTACGGTGAAGCATGGTGGTGGCAGCATCATGCTGTGGGGATGTTTTTCAGCGGCAGGGACTGTGAGACTAGTCAGGATCGAGGGAAAGATGAACGGAGCAAAGTACAGAGAGATCCTTGATGAAAACCTGCTCCAGAGAGCTCAGGACCTCAGACTAGGGCGAAGGTTCACCTTCCAACAGGACAACAACCCTAAGCACACAGCCAAGACAATGCAGGAGTGGCTTCGGGAAAAGTCTCTGAATGTCCTTGAGTGGCCCAGCCAGAGCACGTACTTGAACCCGATCGAACGTCTCTGGAGAGACCTGAAAATGGCTGTGCTGCGACGCTCCCCATCCAACCTGACAGAGCTTGAGAGGATCTGCAGAGAAGAATGGGGGAAACTGCATAGTTCGTTTTGTTTCGGTATGTTGCATTAAATATTGAGTGTTGATTCGATCACAATTCCCACAGTAAAGCGAAACGTTGATAGTGTTAACCAACAGGGAAAACTCTAGAAAGTTGAGTGAAGTTCAATCTCGTGCTTTTCTGGGCACACTGATATTTCTTCTGAGCGGCAGTCCCCGCACAGCTTAGAGGGAACATTGACCAAGAGATCTGAGGTGGCAGATCGGAGTTCTTGGGTTGAGGTGTAGGGTTTGAGCATAGCCTGAAGTTTGGGAGGGGCAGTTCCTCTTGCTGTTCCATAGGTAAGCACCATGGTCTTGTAGTGGATGCGAGCTTCGACTGGAAGCCAGTGGAGTGTGCGGAGGAGCGGGGTGACATGAGAGAACTTGGGAAGGTTGACAACCAGGTGGGCTGCAGTATTCTGGATAAGTTGGAGGGGTTTGATGGCACAAGCGGGGAGCCCAGCCAACAGCGAGTTGCAGTAGTCCAGACGGGAGAGGACAAGTGCCTGGATTAGGACCTGCGCCGCTTGCTGTGTAAGGTAGGGTCGTAGTCAGATGTTGTAGAGCACAAACATGCAGGAGCGAGTCACTGCTTTGATGTTTGCAGAGAACGACACTGGTGCCGAGTGACTTGGTGTATAGAGAGAAGAGCAGAACGCCTAGAACCGAGCTCTGGGGGACACCAGTAGTGAGAGTACGTGGTGCAGACACAGATCCTCTCCACGTCACCTGGTAGAAGCGATCTATGGGGACAGCCATAGAACCCTTTTAGGTTCTATATACTGTAGCAACCTTTTTCTCTATGAGTGGAAGCTAGTGACTCACACTTTGAGAGCAGGCCCGTGTGTGATGTCTATATTGTGGGAGAATGAGTTGGGGAATGTAGGCCATTCTTCTCTTGGCACAGACAGAGATGAGAGTGATAAATGAACAGAAACAGATGGAATGGAGGTTCTCATCCTTTTGATCTCTGGAGAAGGAGGTTGGGGAAACATGATGGAGGTGCACGATACAGACTGTTGCTGCTATTTCTCTGGCAAAGTTCCCCTCTTTTATCTGTTAAAGGAGACAGGGTTGATTGTGGCATTTGATTTATAAATTGTATTTCATAAATTATAAGGTATATTTTTGGGCATGTTATGCTTTATTCGATAGAGGAGAGACAGATAGAGTTTTTGCTGAAATAGCAGTGGGCCAGATTTGAACCCATGTTGCAGCAGTCTATTTGTTCCTGAGGCAGCGGTTAAGACTGCTAGACCACCGTAGGCCACAAGATTAGAAGGGTTTTGGATGTTGGTGTTGTAATGTATGGCCTATATTTGAGATTAGTAAAGCTATGCATATTAATATGGCAGAATGTAAGAAGCAAAGCTAAATGTTTACAATTAGCCCCCTTCCTTTTCCCTCTCTCTCTTACCCAATCTCTCCATCGCTTCTCCCTCTCCTCCGTCCACCAAATGTATTTTTCTCCCCCTCTGTTGCTCTCTGCGCTCACCACCATTTGCTTTTGGAATCTGTTCCTCTCCTGTCAGCTTATGTCAAACTCTGTTGACTGTAAATCTCTGCCACTCCTATCTCTGACACATCTCATCTCCTGATTTATCTGTGTTTTCCCTCTCCTCTGTTCTCTCTGTTTCTCTTCCCTCTCTCTCTGTTCATCCTGCAGCATTTCCTCTACCCACCTGATATCTCTTATTTTTCTTCAGGCTATCTCTGCTCTCCATCTCTCTCATCCCCCACCCCTTCTATCTTTCTCTCTCACTCATTCTCTCACTCCCACCACTTATCTTTTCCTCACCTTTACCCGCTGTCAGCATTTCCAGATCCCCCCATTCCCCTATCACTCTCCCTCTGTCCGCTGCTCCCTTGCTCTCTCTTGCACCACTTATCTACCTCTCCCTTCACCCTGTCTGCATCTCCGCCTCTCTCTCGCTCGTTTCTCATTCTGTATGCATCTGCCTGTGTCGTTGGCATTTGTTCGCTTTTCTTTGTTCGTTTGCATTTCCAAACATAAATGTTTATAATATAGTTATTTCACTACTAACACAAAACAAGCCTGAATTTCCCTACTGTTCTTGACAGTATTATTATATTCAGATAACTAACTGCTTCTGGTGATCATCTATAATCAATGGGGCTCAGAACTCCAATGTACAGTATGATGAAATTGGGAGATCAGGTAAACTGTAGTCAGTCAGTGTGCATTTAACTTATACCCCCCCCCAAATATGGTATTCAGAGCTGAGCTTCACCAGAGGTGATGCATTTGATGGTTTCAAGGCCTGCGGATGTGGCCACTGCATCAAAAATACATCTAGACTGTGCGGCCGCTGAAGTGGTCATTTTTGGAGATCTGAAGTAGTCTATATGAAAGTCAGCATTTAGGCTGTCATTAATATTAAAGTCCAGCTCTAAGTTATTAAGATGTACAGGTTTTCATTGTCAGATCACAATGTGTTTGACGCACTGTTAGTGTGTGTGTGGAATTGACCAACCCTTTCCCATCTCATAAACACACGCACACACAGGCACGCACACAGAGAGGAGGGCTCTGTTATTTCTGTTTGCCAAGACCTCAAGAAATTCCAAATGCAACCACTGCTGGTCTTTTCTGGGCACTGGTCCGACAGTCCCCGCTCCCTCTCTTCCCCCTTAACCTCTATCAGTTTTTCTATTTCTCCATCCCTTTCATTGATCCCTTTCTCTCTCTCTCTCTCTCTGCTCTGTGTTAGATTGCTTGTGTGTGGTTGCTGAGAGCAAATACAGCCTGGCTCTAAATTGAGAGCAGAATACCAATGTGATGCCGCTGTGACTGCAGGAAACATTTGTCCTTTGGAGTGAGAAAGAGATGGGGTAGAGATGGAGATAGAGGAAGAGAGAGAGACCGAGCAAGAGAGGGAGAGAGGGAGAGAGATTAATTGGGTCTGCATTAATTTATTTCAGAGCTGTTCTTTGGTTTGAGCACTGTAAATTGGGTCATTATTCCTTAGCACCAGGGCAGTTGTGTATTTGTTCCTTTTATCTAACACGCTGGTGAAAATGTAAAGGTCTCTCTTTCCCTCTTTTAGTTGGTTTAAGACACATAATGGCTTTGCTAACCAAGGCAATGTCTGTCTGTGTTAGCTCAGCTGTGAAAATAAGCCATGTCAAAGAACTGCTTCCAGATTATTTTTCTTTGGGGACTTCTAGCCATTGGGTACTGAAGGGAATTTAACAGAAATACAGAAGGAAATGTGTGAACACACTTGTATCTTACCAGAAGCTCATTTTTACATATGTTAAATCGATAGAAATCGCAGAAAAAATGGTTAACATTTCCTGAAGAAGAGATAACATTGATCGATTTTACATTACATTTACATTTTTGTCATTTAGCAGACGCTCTTATCCAGAGCGACTTACAGTTAGTGAGTGCATACATTATTCTTTTTTATATATATTTATTTTTTTACTGGCCCCCCGAAATATTTTTCTCCAGTCAGGTAATGATCAAGAACGTGTGTCAAATAGAAAAACAAATCAACCTATAATAAAAGTTCACGTTTCAGAAAGTTTATTGAGTGGAGAATGGAGAAAGGGGGTGGTTGGGTCTGCTGCCATAATCTCCAGTCCCATTGGTACCTCAACTGTGCTATCATTTCCCTCTTCCTTCCTGTCAGTGCATCTTACTTGAGCTTCAGGTCTGGGAGCCGCTAAGCTTTGATGTAGTTGTCAGAAGATACCAGAGAGAATGTGGGCTGACACAAAGAAATGGCTTTCAAGTCGGAGAGAAGGAATGGAACGAAGAAGAAATATATTTGATACCCAGAATCATAAACCATATAATACTCTTACATGTAACAAATTCTGCTCACACACACACACGTTCATTGCCCTTCCTGTGAACCAATAATTTCCTGGCGTTTCAAGCATCAGAGGTTCTAATTAAAAGGGGCCTGTATGGGCCATTGTTTTTATAATTGACAATGACCCTGGCCTTTCTCAAGTATCACCCCTATCGGCAGCGCCAGCTCTTTGGAGTCCAAAGTCTCACTACGCAGGGTTATTAGAGGTTAAATGAGCTATGGCAAAATGGCCGCCCTGATATTAATACTTTCCCTCCATTTCCTACAACTGACCTAGAGAAAGAAAGAAGCTTAATATGTATAGGCCCTTAGCTATAGTGGAAGGAAAGTCTGCTAGATATTGTAATACGTATATTGACCACCCCACTTATCAGGAGATGATCGTGATCATGAAATCCATTATGAAATCATCCATTTTGTTTCCTTAATCAATGATAATGTGGAATATAGTGTCTGTTTAAGATGCAGGATCCATAGACAGTCAGGCCGGTTTTGTCACAGTTCAAGGTTTGTTCGCTCGATAATCAAAGGGTGTTGCTGTAATTGCAAAATATGAAATCCTATTTGTTGTCTGCTGAAGTGAAACAGATTATGGCCTTGCATTAAGTGCCTGTGCATTGTCAGAGTGGGGGAAATGAAGTGTCTGGGGGATTATTGTGCAATTTCCATAGATGTCATTAGCATTATGTTTATAGATTCATGGTCAAATGCAAATTGGCAGGAGATGAGATATATTTACCATTTATTAGGTATTTATACTGTATCTGGGTTGGGAAGGGAAATATAGTGTTCTTTCTAACAAAGACACAATATATACATGTATTTCAGGATGTCGTGTATCACTGTAAATAATCTGAATTCATGTAAACATAACAGTTTTGAAAACATAGCTTGTCCAAAGAATATGGGGTAAATTGAAATTAGGGACAGGGTAAGTTGAGCCGCCTTGGGGTAAGTGGGTGAGGGTGTCCTGTGACAGTGGGTGATGGTGCTGATAGGTCAAAGTTTAATTCATTGAATGGGGTGTGGTGTATCGTATATCTTAAATGTATGCCTACATTTCTGGGACAAATCAGACGGTCTAGAATGGATTTTCCTTCTAGAAATAATCGGAGAGGTATTCAGGTCCAGACTCACTTCAGAGAACAAACTAACGTCCATGGGCGTGGTGTAGCGTTTGGCCGGAGCAAGGAGTTTGGGTAACCAGTCAACCTCTTCAGTGTCATTCAGTCAATTTTTTCATCCCTTGCTGCTGCTCGAATGAACTTCTTCCCTTCTCTCACTTCCTTGGCTGCTTTCTCAAGAACCTCAATGGGAGCTCGACCCCTGCTTGTTTTACGTCTGTATACACAGGGCATGATAATGTCTGTTCTGTAACAATAAAAATGCACTATAAATAAATATGCCATTTAGCAGACGCTTTTATCCAAAGGGACTTACAGTCATGCGTGCATACATTTTTGTGTATGGGTGGTCCCGGGGATCGAACCCACTACCTTGGCGTTACAAGCGCCGTGCTCTACCAGTTGAGCTACAGAGGACCACAATCTTGAGTTCGTATGCATGACACATTGTATAAATTCTATGCATATTATGCATAAAACGGACTAAATGTAATCATAATTTGTATGGGGTATGGTGGCCATTGGCTCAACTTACCCCAAGGCAAACATTTAGGTTTAGGACCTCATATTGAAGCTTATAGAGACCTCAACTGATGTACAAAACAATCTTTAAACTATCCACTTTGGTTTAGATACAAGCATCATGAAACCTATAATACCATGAATTCATTTCAAATCAAATCAAATCACATTTTATTTGTCACATGCGCCGAATAGAGTGAGTGAAATGCTTACTCACAAGCCCTTAACCAACAATGCAGTTTTAAGAAAAATGGATAAGTAAAAAATAAAAATATAAAATAATTAAAGAGCAGCAGTAAAATAACTGTAGCGAGGCTATATACAGTGAGGGAAAAAAGTATTTGATCCCCTGCTGATTTTGTATGTTTGCCCACTGACAAAGACATGATCAGTCTATAATTTTAATGGTAGGTTTATTTGAACAGTGAGAGACAGAATAACAACAAAAAAATCCTGAAAAACGCATGTCAAAAATGTTATAAATTGATTTGCATTTTAATGAGGGAAATAAGTTTTTGACCCCTCTGCAAAACATGACTTAGTAGTTTGTGGCAAAACCCTTGTTGGCAATCACAGAGGTCAGACGTTTCTTGTAGTTGGCCACCAGGTTTGCACACATCTCAGGAGGGATTTTGTCCCACTCCTCTTTGCAGACCTTCTCCAAGTCATTAAGGTTTCGAGGCTGACGTTTGGCAACTCGAACCTTCAGCTCCCTCCACAGATTTTCTATGGGATTAAGGTCTGGAGACTGGCTAGGCCACTCCAGGACCTTAATGTGCTTCTTCTTGAGCCACTCCTTTGTTGCCTTGGCCGTGTGTTTTGGGTCATTGTCATGCTGGAATACCCATCCACGACCCATTTTCAATGCCCTGGCTGAGGGAAATCACCCAAGATTTGACGGTACATAGCCCCGTCCATCATCCCTTTGATGCGGTGAAGTTGTCCTGTCCCCTTAGCAGAAAAACACCCCAAAGCATAATGTTTCCACCTCCATGTTTGACGGTGGGGATGGTGTTCTTGGGGTCATAGGCAGCATTCCTCCTTCTCCAAACACGGCGAGTTGAGTTGATGCCAAAGAGCTCGATTTTGGTCTCATCTGACCACAACACTTTCACCCAGTTCTCCTCTGAATCATTCAGATGTTCATTGGCAAACTTCATACGGCCCTGTATATGTGCTTTCTTGAGCAGGGGGA